TCTTTATGGAGAAATCAAACGATTGTGAAAAACCCCAAGAAGCAGAATACATACTAAACAATGCTATAGCAGTCCCGTGCACACAATATAAACAACGTAAAAATATATTTACAGTACAGGTGCAGGCTTCACGTGGTGGCAGCTCCGGTGTCGAGTCTTCGAGGCTCGTAGCGTTTTTGAAGTGTGTCGCGCCACAGGTGCACGGCCGTCGGCTACAGCATCGGGTCCCTGCGGTACCACGTGACTGCAGCGTCGGGTCCCCTCAGCTGCTGTATCGCTCTTCCTTTTAATGTACACTCTATGGAGCGAAGCCGCAGGACATCTTTGGCATTCTCACAACGATGACGTCGCTCGGCCGAGCTCCTCTGCTGGTCGCAACACACAGGTCACATGGCGTGGCTGGGAGGGCCGCGGCAGCCGGCCATAAGTTCTGCTGGCGGACTTCCGTCGAACGCCATGTCGCTGCCCCCGCACGTCTGCCTCTTGCCGTTCCGAGCCCCCTCTTTTCCTCCTCTACTCTCTGCTGGCCACGTTGTCTCTCGTGCAATTTTTTAAACCTCTTCTTACTTGTGTTCTTTTTAAAGACGATAGTGTTTCTTGGGGACCATCGGGGGAAAATTTTGTTCTGTCTGTCTGCCTGTCTGCCTGTACAAGGGGAAGTTAATTACCTTCAAACAAGAAAGAAACACAAGATAAGGGGGTGGCGTAACGCTTGTTATATACAGCACTCTAGAATTCATTTTGTGTATGCCTATATACATTCAAGAAATCGAACAGACCAATAACTAGAACAAACTACCTATGTACATTTATATACAAAAGATCACACCGATAAACCAAGACTTGGCATTTTCCATCACTATATGTTTACATCCCTACAATTACAGCCAGTCACATTGGACGAAAGAAACCCAAAGCACATGTACATATATACCTTCCCAGGAAGTGTGCGTGCGCTCTGTGGTATTAATGGGCGAGACCCATTACAAATAACAAACAGAAGTACACATCGTCATGGCCGAGCCGGGAAGGGAGAGGGGTGGCCACCTCAGCATTATATAAACGCTAGGGTGGGGAGGTACACACGTACACAAATTTGCTAGGTAACTTCCGAAGTTCCGAAGTTTTATTTTTTATTTTCACCAAAACAGATACAATGGTGAAAATGGGGAGATGGCAAAAAAGCAGCAGTCATTGCAGCTTGACTAAGCACCATCCACCCTACGTCAGCAATGACAGCTTGTGCGATAGTAGAAGCAGGGGGGTGTAGGGATGGGAAGCAAGCTACAAAGAAACACTGTGCGTTGTGATGAACGACTCCTCCCTCCTAAAAAAAGGGGGGGGGGTCTTTGTGCCTTTGGTTAAGCCGGAGGGCTGTGAGGAAAACGAGGACGGGGTTTTATCCTTACTAATTGCCCGCTGGGCGGGGAATCAGGGCTGTTACATCGAAGACATACGGGTGGCGAACCCCCGAGCAGGGGGGGGGGGTGGCAGTAGGGACTCACTAAAAGGAGGTGACCGGGAGGCACAACTTGCCTCTTTGTATAAAGAAAAACCTCGTATGCCAGCGGCGAAGAAACTTGTCTTCACCGCTGGATTCGAGTTGCTCAGAAAGATACCGCCATAGCATCTGGCGGATCCTGGCCACTGATGGGAAGGCCGCTCGTACCGGCTTGTGCCTTACTTCAGCCAGGCTGCGCCACTTCCTAAGTACAAATAGTGTGTATACAATCACCAGCTTGACGAAAGAGCCCTTATTCCTGCGAAGAGCTGGTGGGGAGCGGATACGAAATTCCCTCGCGATTATTCGCCACACTGGCTTGGCTGCGGGGCACTCGTACAGGGCATGTGCCAAGGTTTCTTCCGAAGGACAGTTGGGGCAAGTAGGAGAAGGGACAATGCCTAGCCTATGTAAATTGAAATTGAAATTGAATTGAAATTGAAATTTATTCCGCAACAACAAAATACATGTTACGAGGAGGGCAGGTAAAAGCTGTGAGAACAGCTTGAGAAGCCCTGACCCCCTAGTACACAGGGTAGCACAGAAAGACGTGCGGCTAAGGACAACCAAAATAAAAGTGTTTCACAATGTGCACTAAAAAAAGAAACAATGAAAGATTACAATGAAAGATCACCGAGGTAGTCGCTAGATCACATTATTATATAAACACTAATCGCAATTTTTTTGGTGATATGCTAGATATATCAATGTTATGTTCCCTAATTATGCGGTTTAGAAGTGTAGGCAGTTGAAACTTTAACATTTGATTTCCGTATTTCGTTCTACATTTTGATATGTGCCACACTTCAGGTTGACGTACATTATAAGCAGGAAAATTTTTCTCTAACCTGGCTATTCTAGCAATCGTATCATTATTTTTCAATAAACCGAACTTATATAAACGGCTTAGTTTATAATCATATATTGATGCAACCTGAATGATGTAGTGTTTTTTAAACAATTCTGCTGTGTGGCTGCGATGTGGCAATTTAGAGGCAAGACGCAAAGCTTTCTTTTGCAAGATGGTAAGTTTGCAAACGTTTACAGTTGTCGTTGTGGACCATACAAGAAAGGCATAATTCAATAATGAAGAAAACAACGAGTTATATATGAGCATGTTTACAGAAACAGGAAAATAGTAGCAATGACGGCGCATGACGCCGATTATACGAGATAGTTTAGTAATAATATGGTTCACGTGATCATCCCATGTCATGTTTTGTGAAAAATACACGCCTAATGATTTAAAACTTTTGACGACTTCAATTTCTAAATTATTTAACGAAATGATGGGAAACTGAACTTGTGTGTGGCGGGGGTGAAATAAAACAGCTTTTGTTTTTATTATGTTTAGTTTTAGAGAGTTTTCTTGGGCCCATGTGTTAATTTTAGACAGTGCGTTATTCGCTCGGCTACCTAGATCGCTGCTACATCTGCTTGAAAAAAACAAACTTGTGTCGTCAGCATATATAATGTAATGGGCAGATTCATCAATACGAACTATCTCATTAACGTAAAGTATAAAGAGAAACGGTCCCAAAATGCTTCCCTGCGGGACGCCTGTTTTAATGGATTTTGTTGCGGAATGTTTGCCTTGAATTACGACGAATTGAGTTCGGTGTTGCAAGTATGAAGTGATTAATTTGTGTGCAACGCCTCTTATACCGTAATGGTCCAACTTTTGTAGGAGAATTTTATGATTAATGAGGTCAAAGGCTTTTGAGAAATCAAGAAAAAGACCGAGTACCATATTTCGGGATTCAAAATTCTCTAGAATGTATTCTTTTTGTGCCAGTAGCGCGAGCTCAGTAGATTTATTTTTCCGGAAGCCATACTGCGCTGAAGTAATCAAGTTGAACTTGTCAGTAAAAGAGTTTAAACGTTTCAAAATTATTTTTTCCAGACCCTTAGAGAATACAGGTAGAATCGATATAGGGCGGTAGTTGGACATGTCATTTCTGGGACCCTTTTTATAGATAACTGTCACTTTTGCTATCTGCATGTTTCGCGGGAAATGTCCTGTGGACAAACATATATTAAAAATGTAGGCAAGACAGGGTGCTAGTATGTCAATAACATACTTAACAGGTTTCATCTGAATATTGTCCGCGTCAGTGGCTTTGCTATTACTGAGTGTCAAAAATGTCGCTACTAATTCACTCTCTGAAATTGGCTCTAGAAATATTGTTTGGTTATTTCGAATATTCATATATTTTAAAGAAGTACTACTGGTTGTAGGGCCGCCAACTGACAAAAAGAAGTCGTTAAATGCATCAGCTAAATCAGGCCCTTGAATTTCTGTACCATCTTTCACAATTTTGGTTAATTCCTCCGGTGGATTATTAAGCGTACTGTTAATTGCCTTCCAAACGTTTTCTGTACGCCCTTGCGTTGAGTTAAACAGGTTCGAATAATATAGTTTCTTTTCATCACGAAGGCGTTTGGTGACAAAGTTTCGGTGCTTTTTAAATGCTTTGAGGGCTTCAGGGGACTTACTCACAATAAATGCCTTGAACAATTGGTCCCGCTTTCTTATAAGCTTAAGGCATTCTTTATTTACCCAAGGTTTCCGACTTTTTTTAAATGTTTTAAATGACTTTAGGGGAAAACATTGAAGGTATATTTCGGTGAACTTGTTCATAAATAAATCGTATGCCAAATTGGCGGCACTCGCTGCGAACACATTGCTCCAGTCGGTTCTGCCTAAGCGCTCTCTAAAGAGGGTTAGTGTTTCAGGATTTATAAGTCTATAGGAAAATTCTGCACGCACTTGTTTGGGTACGTTATTGAGTTGGTTAACAAACATAAATATAGGCATGTGGTCACTAATATTGTGAATCAAAGTGCCAGCCGTAACAAGGGAAGTATCAAAGTTTGTTATAAAAAGATCTAAGAGTGTTGATGACTGTGAAGTGATTCGCGTAGGAGCCGTTATAACATTTTGACAATAATGCGAGCTTAACATTGATTCAAGTTCTAATTTAACACTGCTCTCAGCTAACATGTTGATGTTGAGGTCACCACCTAAAATCAAGGCATATTTTTTTTCACTCACAAATTCTAACAGTGAGTCTAAAAAAGAAAAAAACAAACGGACATTATTTGATGGAGGGCGGTAACATACACAAAACACTGATGTACCACATCTAACAGTGAGTATTTCATATAGAGGAGAAATGCAGGAGAATTCAGACATCAATTCACAGTCTATTTTACTTGAGATTAGCATAGCTACGCCACCACCCCTTTTGCCTGTGCGGTTCATGTAGTATGATTTATAAGTTGGAAACGTAAATACATCATCTTCCGAAGCAAACCACGTTTCCGAAAACATCACAACGTCAAAATTTACTTGTGCTTCACTAAAAAAATATTCGAGCTCATCCTGTTTATTCCTTCCCGATCTAAGGTTGAAATGAACGCAACTGAGGCTTTTTTCACAACAAGTGTCATACAAGTTTTTAAGATTAATAAGGTCTATAGGTGCGGTTAAGGGAAACATGTTAAGACGAGTATCAAAAGAATATCAGGAAGTAACAATGCAATGCGGGGTAACAGTATCACAGCTTATCAAGGTCACCCAAACGACGAATGACAACCGCGCTATCACCCTCTCTTTTCCTAACGAGAATCTTGCCGTTGCAGTGCCATGAAAAACGATAGCCATTGTTCTGTGCCCAGTCTTTTGCGTTGCGCAGCAGCTCTCTGTTTTGCTGGGTCATGTTTTCAGTGATCGAAACATTCGAAGCATCTCTTAGGGCTTTCCGCCTTCCTAGCCACTTATCACGAATTGATTGCTGGGCAAATCGAACTATAATTCCGGGTGTTTTGTTTGGCTTTGCCGGAAGTCTGTGGATAGCGGCGATGTCATTCCCAGTCAGCTCTGGCAGGTTAGCAATCTTGGCCACATCATTCAACTTACACAGCAAATTCTCGTCTGGCGTAACCCGGATGCCGTGAACTTCTATGTTTAGTCTCCGACTACGAAACTCGAGATCATTCACCGTAGCTTTCAGTTGTTGAATATCACTTGAGGTGCAGTCCGCCTCTAATTTCCCAACGCGTCTGTTTAAGCTACTAATGTCCTTTTCCTGCTTAGCTTGACAGTTCAAGATGTCATCGTACTTTTGTGACAACAGCTGGATTGAGACCTTAATCTCACCAACCTGAGCCGGCAGCCCTGCTAAAGCATCAAGCCTCCTAGTTATATCTGCCAGGCAAATGGTTAACTCAGAGTCCATGCTAGTTTTCTCCCCACTTTTCGCTTTAGATGAACGGCAAGCAGCACATCGCCATGCCCTGCGACCGCTCTCTCCTTTAGTCTTAAATGTCGTCTCCGACCAGCCAGAACAACTGCCAACATGGTAAGAGGACTCACATTCGTTGCACTTCAGGACACGCCCATCACAGGGGAGGGGCTCATCACAAGACTGGCACGTGCTTGTCATGGTACGTTGTCCAGGCATTCACAGTAGCACTCAGTTCGCACTCAATTCGGGAGCATTCAATTAGGAAAAAGGCACATTATGCACAGAGAACTCAGCAAAGCACTGAAACACGGTGGCAACGGCGGTAGCGGTAAGGCGGTATTGAGAAATAAGCGAATTTACCAACCTGGGTAAGCAAAAAGAGCTGATTAGGCGAACGTCCTTTCACCGCCGCCGCCGCCACCCGTGTGTCCAGGTACGATGTCGACGCCGGAAACACGTAAACACTTCCGCAGGCTCAGTGACGTCAAGATGTGATTCCGTAGCCACGGCAACCGTTTTCAGGTAGTCTAATAAATGGAGGAAATTTGAACGTTGTAAAGGAGCGCCGCTTTGATAAATGGCTCCAGCGCAACGATTCCAACAAGGCAGGAACCCTAAAGCACCGGCCGCCGAAATGCAGGACACCAACCTGGGTAAGCAAAAAGAGCTGATTAGGCGAACGTCCTTTCACCGCCGCCGCCGCCACCCGTGTGTCCAGGTACGATGTCGACGCCGGAAACACGTAAACACTTCCGCAGGCTCAGTGACGTCAAGATGTGATTCCGTAGCCACGGCAACCGTTTTCAGGTAGTCTGGGTAAGCAAAAAGAGCTGATTAGGCGAACGTCCTTTCACCGCCGCCGCCGCCACCCGTGTGTCCAGGTACGCTGACGGGTTGGGAGGACGTTCCAATTCTAGCGCCACACGAAGTCTTGTGCGGAAATGGGGATTGCTCGCCCGTCGCTGCGCTCTTTTTTTCCCATTTCTTCGACCGCCTGTCTTCCTCCAGCGCGATTTGGTGTCGCGCTATCTTTTCTGTGATGCGGGCTGTCGCGGTGTCGTCAACATCGCAGTCGGGGGCGTCGTTCTCCAGCATGCGCTTCGTGTTAGCGATGACCTTGTAAAAACGCGATGGCATTTCTGAGAGCGGAGCAAGGGGTCGGTCCGCGTCTAGAAATGCGGCGTTCGTGCTGCTCCAGTACCGCATGATGTTCTTACCCACCTAGCCAATTGTTTTGAACAGTGTCCTTGCCATTTTCAGTGCAAGCACTTTACTGGTTGAAAGCAAGTGGGTCCGGCCAAGACCACCCTCATCCGCTGAAAGCTGGAGGAGAGTGTGGCGGATGGGCGCAGGTTTACCTCCCAAAAGGAAGGCGCCGATCATTCTCGTGAGCTGCGCCGCCGTCTTGGTGGGCATCACGGCTACGCGACTGACGTAGTACGCGAAGGCACAGATGCTAGTCGTTGCCGCTAAGACCTTTTCGCGTAATGTGAGGTTTTGGGGTTTCAGGCGCTCTGTCGCCATTTGTGCCCGCTCCAGCGCCTGCTGCCAGGTAGTTTCCGTCACACCGCCGCTGCCAAAATACATGCCGCGCACCGTGATGACATCTACCACAGCCAGTCCGCCCAAAGCTCTTCGGAGGAAGGCACCAAAAGGCACGGCTTTGCACTTCTCCTTGTTTAGCTGAGCACCCGAGGCGTTAGCGTATGCCTTGAACGTCTGCCAAGAGGCCTGTAAACTGGCTGAGTCCCTTATAAACAGCGAGACATCGTCAGCTAAGGCCAAGACTTTAATCTCTGCCTCACCTGTCAACGCGAAGCCTCTTATGCGTTCGTTGGGGTGAATGTTTGTTAGCAGGGGATCCAGCGTAAGGATGAAGAAGGTGGGCCCGAGTGGGCACCCCTTCCGAATTCCTCTCGCATCTGAATGCGGGCGAAGGGTCGCCATTCACCACTATGCGGCAAGTCAAGTGGCTGTAAAGGAGGACGATAATGTCGACGAAGTGCTCCGTGAACCCAAACTGGCCGAGAACTTGAAACATGTACCCGTGTTTGACTCTGTCGCATGCCTTCGCTTGGTCTAGCGATATGAAAGCACCCGACAGAGACTCCGTTGACATGTACTCAAATGTATCCCTAGTGACCATCAAATCGGCAAATATGAATCGGCCCGGACAAGCGCAGGAGTGGTGCGGTAAAAACCACGTCCTGTAAGAGAGGTTTAAGTCGAGTGTTTAGAAGTGAAGCCACGATTTATAGTCTACATTAAGTAGCGTTACTGGCCGCCAGGCTGACAGCTCCTCCTGCTGGGCGCCCTGCTTATGAAGAAGCACGATCCTTCCATCACCGAAGGATGGAAGTTTCTGGCGTTGCGTGATCTCCATAGTTGCCATCAACAGCAGTACGCCCTTCAGGACATCGAAAATTGTGCAGTAGAATTAGGCTGTGAAGTCGTCTGAGCCTGGGGCAGAGTTCGGGGACATGCTCGTAATCGCTAACTTCACTCCTTCCTCTGACGTTTCGTTGTCTAACATTTCGGTCTCTTCCCGCGCTAAGCGAGCGAAATTCTGGCAAATCTCTCCAGCTTGTCGTTTCGCGTCTGCTGCGCGGGTACGGTCTGCTTCCCCGAAGAGGGCAGCGTATTAGTCATAAAAAGATCTCCTAATCTTGTCCGAGTCTGTAGCGAATGAGCCATCTGCGTGCTTCCCCCACGTGATTTGTATCTGGCCCTTCCCGGTTAATTTGATGGGGTCTGCCGCGATCCGTTTAGAGGATTCGTCCCGCTCTCTGGGCGATGTGAGCACACGTTTCTGGGGCAGAGGGGTGTACTCAGCCTCCAACGAATCGAGGTAATCTCGCATGCAAGCCGTCAGGGTTTCCGCCTCTCTAATAATGCGGATCCTGCGCAGGATATCGTTGAGCTGTTCTGTGATGCGGCGCTTCCTGACTCTCCCTTCTTCCTGGAGGATTCTCCTCCACTCTGCTTTTAAAGCATCCCAGGAATCCGGCGTTACATCAAAGAAATTTGCCACGGAAGCTTGAAGGCACACTCTGATGTGCTCAGTGCTGATCTCGTCTCGAAGGAGGGCCGAGTCAAGCCACCAGCCTTGGTCGTCGCTACGGCTTCCGAGAGATTCCTTCAGAGTGGTGACGAGAGGGAATTGGTCGGAACGTCTCGCTAAGTCAGCCGGTGGAGATACGACCTCGCACGCCTTTACCGAAAAGTGTAAAAAATCGGGCAAGTACGTCCGTCCTATTCGGGACGCGCTTAGCTGTGAGGCGCGCGTCGGGACGAAAAGGTCTCCATGCGCGTGTAGCCAGACGTCTGTTAGACGCAAGTGCTTCAAGACCACGACCAACTCCTTTGCGTGGTACGTGGACTTTCCTTGGCCCGGTCCCCTGATGTCTCTCTGGGAGTCGATCACACAGTTAAAATCTCCCAGTAGTACATGCGGGAGAGGATCTGCAAGAGTGAGGTGTAACTCTTGGTAGAAGTTATTAGTGAACTTCCTCGTGACCGGAGAGTATACGTTTACAAAACGACATCGTTTTCCGTTGACATAAATGTCGCACATTGGTGATCTGCTATTTGCGCCGAAGGTGCAAAAAGCCTTCTGACGGAAGCGGCCCGTGATGAAGATCACCCCAACGCCACAGGCCCTCGCGTTAGTCAAGGAGAAAAAGGCATCAACCTAGAAATCCTGCTTAAATTTAGCCCCCTCTAGCGGGGACCGAAAGTTAGTTTCTTGGATAAACAAGACGTCAATCGCATGGGCTTGGGCAACGCCAAAATGTCGCGTTGTTTGGCACTATCTCAGAAGCCGCGGACGTTCCAGGTGGCAAACCTAAACTGTGACATGGCGTAATGCTGTGTGTGCGGAGGGGGTCGTTGATTTGGCGTGGTAGGAGGGCAGCGGGCGCTATAAGGCGCATGCTTCAGAGACCCAAGGAATGCGAGAAAGAAAAAAAAGAAGCTAAGCGGCTCATCTGTGAGCTGCAAAATGTAAATATGAATATGTCGTGTCTTCAGCGAATAAAAGAAGTAGAGATGGTGAGCGGAGTGGGCGCCGTTGATAGCAGGAAAGGGAACACGTTTATCTCGAGTCGGGTTTGACCACGCAGGCATGGGCGAGAGGGCATTCCACCTGAAAGAGCGGCGTGGAAACGCGCGTGCCTCAGGCACCAACCATGAACCGGCTCGGAGGAGAGGAGGGTGGGTTGGGTGGCGGGCACGGCCGAGTGTGCCCGTAAAGAGTGAGCCCGTGACTTCCATGTTTATTTACAGCCCCTACGGGCCGTAGCGGGCAAAACAAACAGAAGAGAGGGGAGAGAGAAGAAATGCGAGTCGACGCCTGTCATGGTCACGCTGCTTGGTCGCCTGAAGCGTGGGGAGGCCGTCACCGACCGAACCCTTACGTGACTTCTTGGGCTTCTTACGGCTGGCTGCGTCGCTGTCACTACTGCCCTCGAGTGGTCTTGAGTGGCATCCGGCCCTCTTGGCGCTCTCTGCTCGCCCCGTATTCTCGGGTTTTGTGCCGTCCATCGGCCTTCGTCGAGAACGGCATTGGTGCCGTTTTTTGAGGCCGGGCCCATATATGATTTCGGGAGAAGTTCCTTCGCGTGAGCCGGCGTCTGCAGCCGCGTGGAGACTGGGGCCTGGGGCCGTTGAAGAGATCTCGGACGGAAGAACATAGTGGCCGCGGCTTTGGATGGGGTTGTCATCAAAGATCGCCTCGCAACTAGTTCCGCGTTGCAGCGGAGGAAAGTCGTGGTCCTTGGTGCTCAGTGCCGCTTGCCCCACTTCGTCACTTTTCGCCTCTCTCTCGGAAGAGCTCTTCTCCTCGCTCGCTGAGGTGTCCACCACCCAGGTGTCGCGCGACGAGTGGGGTTGTGTGCCACCCGTCTGACAAGACCGAGCCGCGTGGGCGATCGTGCCTGTCAGCGGACCCCTGCTCCGTCAAAAGACCACGTGCCGCCGCGACGTAAGATCGTCTACGGAAGCAATCACGGGTACCGTGCTTGCCCCCACACCTCCTGCACTCAGCCTCACACCCCTCAGTGTCGTGTCCGAAGGACCCACGCCACATACAGTAGGGAGTTGAGCAGGCCGAAGCCATGTGTCCCACTTCGCTACAACGCGCGCACACTCGCCGCAAGCCGCGGTACTCCAGCATGATCCGGTGCCCTGCCACAGTTAGGAAGTTGGGCACCGGTTTACTCATATCGATGCGCATGACACAGACACACCATTTAACTTCGTCTGGTGATTAATCACTGTCGCAAAGGCCACGCTCTTGACTTTACCTTATTGTGCGAGTGCACCGGTCAAGGGGTCTACTGAGAGATAGTCCGGGTACCAAAAAACCTTCACAAAGGTGACCAGAGGCCCTACAGCCTCCACCGTGACTTTTTGGTTGTTAACAAAAAACCTTCGTTGACCATTAACTTAGTTGCCTGAGAGGCATTTTGAGTACATACAAGAAAACGTGAGCCTCCCATGTGCTGGAGCACGTGCACGCTATGATCTCCTGCCATGCGCTCGACTGCGTCAATAAGGTCATCTATTGACAAATCGCCATCAGGTGTGTTAAAGAAAAAAACAGTTCTCCCTCACAGGGAGACTCGTTTGTGCGGCCATTGCTGGGGCCATAGCCGGTTGCTCCTCCGAAAGGAACGGGGGGCGGGGCGTGTCTAGTGAATGGTTGGAGCGCAGCTTCGCCGCGCACTAGTAGACTGGTTTAGCAGGCTCTGGATCCTGGAACCCGCCGTTGGTGGTAGATGTCACAGCAGGGGCCTCCGGGTGTGTGGGTGGAAACCGGGCTCCGCTCGCCTCCTGGCGTAGGGTGGTGGTCAACGGCCGGGGGAAGG